CAACCCTGGTCACTTTTTTATACATCTAACTTCGCATGTAGGGTTAGGTTGAAGTAGCCAACCAAATTATGGGATGCCTCATTAAGATCGCGAAGTTAGGTGTTTAAAAAAACGACTAGGGTTTCAGCCAGCTGCCTTTTCTCTTGGCTTAGTATATTTTTGCTCTATTTCGTGAAGTATGGATTCCTGCTCCGATGATGCCATTACAGACAAAAGCTTAACACGAGTTCATCGGGGTCGCAGAACGAGCACAATTCATCAGTCATTCCTACGCGGCAATCCTCTTTCGGTTACCGGTGAGATCACATCACGAATTGCCTCCAACTAACTTTTCCTACGAAATGGAGTCACGTCACAAAATTTCTTTGGTGCCTTTTAACAAACTCAAGATACAATTTTGATACTGTTTATGACCCGTTGACGCTGAAAAGGAATATGAGATGTAGCCATTGTTGATGATTAGCATAGAATGAAGTTCAGAGAGGAAGCTAAATAAGATAAAATCATAATTGTCACAGCCCAATTTTAAGCAAAGTTAAGTGCAAAAAACTGTTTAGCAGCTATGCACTACAATATTAGAGGAACATTTAAATATAGCCTTAATATTAGATAGATTCTGTTAAAAGGAATTTTTATATATTATAGTGGAAGGATACTTTTAGTCAATTAGAATAGATTTAGACAACTGCTATTTTGATGTCAAAATGGCGGAATAGATGATAATCTTTTTTGCTAAAGGATGGATTTATTCGACAGGTGCTTTATATTTTGATGTTAATAGGTTGGTCTTATGGTGCTTTTAGATATTTGTTGCTGTAACATCCATAAAAGGCATATTCGTCTGGAATATAAACCCAGAGAGACAAAGAAGGGTTATTTGAACAGCGACAGGTCTTTTTCCAACAATATGCATTGTGAACACCCAAATGTAAAAGAAAAATAGAATATGAAACTTAATCACCTGGACTGTTGAAAAAATAGGGTTGGCTGACTGACTAGCCTTTAGCCCTACTGAAGCTGAGGAATCTGACGTCTGATTCGTATCAATAGCTTCAACGGAGCTGGCAGATGTTACAGAAGACTTAGTGGTTGAGACGGAGAGATGCGCCAAATGGGATAGTTCCTCATCAGCACTTAACTGACGTAGGCGTATAAGGGTGGTACGGTGAGCCGGATTGCTCAGAGTCAACACCACTTGCATCGTCTAAATAAATTTCAAATGAAATACTAGATAAACAAATGATATTAAAAACATAAGAAGCATAATAAATATACTAATTAACGTAAAAAGCCTTCGCCACGCCTTTTAAGATTACTAAGGATTCTTCAAGGCCCGCTGAATAATTAACAAGTGGAAATTCCATAAAAACAAAACTATAGCAGCTAAAAATATTGATGAAACTGGCTTAAGAATAACTCTCATATAATGATTAATGTGGATTACTTACTAAAGCAAAATGTTGGTTCTGAAATAATGGATAAATTAAACATAAATATAAGATATAAAATTAACTATTGCGTAAAGCTTCAAACGATTGATTGCTCTACAATAAAATAAAGAGTATTTTTTATAGTATTAGCTTAGCATGGTTTTCACAATTTGGAGACCCTGCGAAATGAACCTAGTTCTGCGTCCTCTGTCATAGTGTTAAGCAAAAGTACAAGCATAGGACCAATTACTTGGTACAATTCCAGATGCTTCGATGATATCGTCAGTAAGAGACGCAGTCAGTTGCACAATTACAACTTATCAAAATAACAAGAGAAGGCAATCCCTTAGACCAATTTTCTATTCAACCATTTTGGCATCTTCCCTTCTTGTTCTAGCCTCTAGTGCTGCATCCTTATGCCTATTTACCTATTCATACCTCTCAGTGTCTTCTTCGACTCAAATGAGTGAGGCGTACCAACTTTCCCACCAGTTTCAGATGCCTTTCGCAGGGCTTCTGGGACGCAATCCGTACTTTTATTTGTCAATTCCCTCCATCATATTTAACAGATGTTCCCTGCAACGCATAAAACTCACCGTCTAAATGAATATATATGAAAATATAATAGTTTAATAAGAGATAAAAGCCAAAGGTCACCATCTTGAAAATTGCCTTAATAAAAGATTCAAAAGCAGTGAAGCTGATATTAGACAATATATTACACAATTGTAATTTTAATGCGACGCGTGAATTCTTTATTGTGTATTAATATAAGCTGAGAACTAAAGAAAAACATAGCAAAAAACACTACCACAAGGCAATCAGTAGTGACCCTACGGAAACCCTTAAGTCTAGACTCAAGGGTTTCCTGCAATTTATGAAACAAACGAGGAACTGGTGAAGTGGAAGATAAACACGCTTCTGAATGAGATGCTAGGCCTCCGAATGCACATGGTCTGCCCAAAATACATAAAGATGGAGTGCCACTTAGAATTGTTGCGCATAATAAGGGAAGCGTGATGCATAAAACTTAACGATTTATTTGTAACCAGTTAAAGCAAATCTGCGAGACGTGGAAGGTTTCAGTTAAAAATTCTTATGAATTCGTTAACTTAGTTGATGAGCAGAAGATAGAAAGTGGGGATATGCTGGTAAGTTTTGATATTGAGTCTATGTGCACTAACATTCCTGTAGACGAGGAGCAGGAAGTTAAGTAAAGGGTTAATAATGATACTGATCAACCTATCGATTTAATGTACATATTTTACCTTTAATGGTAAACTGTACAAACAAACACGAGGTTTAACTATGGTATTGTGTCTGTCACCAATTTATCAAATAATTACATGGGTCAATTTGAGGAACGCTTAATTCAGGAGGCACTTTTAGTTCCTAAATTATTAATTCGCTATATGGACGACTACTTTGCTATTTGGCAACATAGCAAAAAAAATTTAGAGATTCTTCTTTGTTTGATGAACAGGATCAATGGGAAGACAGAATTCACCATCGAGTTAAAAAATGAGGGTGGTTTGCCTTTTCTCGATGTCCTAGTTAGCAGAGAGAACCAGATTAGGTAATGTGTATATGAAACAGATAAATGCAGGTTTCCTCTTGCATTTCTTCTCCATCCACACTTATGGGGTTGAATTAAGAGTTATGAAGTCTATGCTAATAAGTAACCTGCGCCTGGCAGATGTTAAACATTGGGACCAGGAACTGAGGTGACCAAGGAGAAGTCTGATTGAGAATAATTATCCATTAGGGCTGGTTGACAATTATTTTTAGAATATTGTTAAATAGGATGAAGGGAAATACATATTTGGGGCTAGAGACAAA